TGCCAGTCGATCCATTGTGTTTGACCACGCTGTCTTTGAAAAGTTGCTACTTAACCGTGGGAAACGACAAGAATGGTGTCCGTTAGAATCCCAATGATGTGGTAAACTGAGACGACCTATTCAATTGGGAAAACATTTTGGAGTGGTCCGTTGAACCGATTAGAGAAAAGCTGTTGGCGATCACCACTGACATCGTACACATTTGCTCTCACCGAGTCACCATGAAATTCGTATGCAAAATAATGGTGACTCACCGTCATCTAAAAGGTTGAACACTGAAGACGGATCGTCACCAGGCTGTTCGACGGATTGATAATCGGATTTGGGCGGAGAAAGGTTTGCTGGGATATCCACATTTGAAGTGCCCGTTTCATGAACTTTTAAGAATGAGCCTAAACCAGGTCCGATCCGATAGGAGGGTGTTCTTGAGGACTGAGAGGATTCCGTGGGGTTTGATACGCGCACGCAGCGAGCATCACGAGTGGGAGTGATCCTATTTACAGATGGAACATAAGGGGCAAAAAACAACTTCTGAATGACATCTATATATTGGGATTAGATAGATCAGAATGATGAACTAAGGTATATATATATCCCATTGGTTGAAGAAGTCACATGCAAAGGTTGTGACTTTCAAGGGGAAAAACAGGAATGGAATATGGAAAAAGAGTAAGCAATATGGCAATCTGCGCTGCTCGTTTTGATAATTTTAAACGTATTACGGGTGAGTGGTTTCGATAAGGTAGCACAGACTTTCAGAGATTACAAAAGAAAATACTGGACTATTTATGGATACTTGACCGAGCGGAATCAATCCTTGTCACCGTCTTTTTACCTGCACATCAGGATACGAACTGACCACGACCATGCTTCCATTCACAATCAGGAACGGGAGACATTGATCGATAGAGAAGTAAGTGAGCAAGCATGTGTAGTACGTGCCATGCTCAATTCTGCAGCATGCATAAGCATTTTAAAACAAAACTTAGAGCAACATGCATTAAATGGTTTGGATGCCATAGACATGATAATCTTCATTAGAACCGAGAATAAAAACGGTCATCCGCAGGATAGATGTTAGTCAGCTGGACCGCAGCAAAATCGATAACTGGCTCCGAACGTTGCAGTTGTTACCCATACGGTTAGTCGCAGAGTTTTAGATAACCGTAATCGCCCACTAGAGCAAATGGTCCAAAGGTTACGTTGATTGGGGTATGTCNAAACCCCAACGAGGAGACTCGGTCATATAGATCGTGTTACGCTCCCTAGATGAGGACCTCGGGATCATTGTAATCAATGGTTAGAGACACTGTGTTGTAAACAGTGTAGTTCGTGCACCTTCCCAATTTCTTCGCGATCTTATTACTCTACTGAAATTCTCCATTTTCTCTTTGGCTCTACCTTCAACTTTCCTGTCTTTCGCTTACTGATTCATCCAGATGGGTAGCCAAAAGACAGCAACTAAAACCGGCGCACGAAACTGTATGGTTATTGGTGGTACGAACCAAACAAATGAACCGAAACACGGTGGTCACAAAACACCGACCGACGATGCTTCGAAGACAGCGATAAGATCAAATGAGCAACTTTTTCAGACACAACACAACACAACAGGAGTAACAATCATATGTCTGTTCATTGAATTCGATATCGTTGACTCAGGTAGGTGGCCACCGGTATGACCTGAGACATCATCTCGCTTGAATACCAAGATACTAGAGGATTTTTATCGTACAATTTTCCCCCTAAATCTCACGCTCGTTCTTTCAAATATAGAGAGAAAAACAGGTGAATGGAGTCATCAGAGAACTAGTGAAAATAAACCTGATTTGTAAAGGATCAATAATGGAAGCAATATGTTCTTGTGATTTCCCTCCGTAGAGGAAGAAAGAGAAAATAAAGAAAATTGTCCATGATTTTCTCTTGGTTTGCCACTGAAATTAAAGAACAACCCCGAACAGTAAATTGTAAACAAAGTATGGCGTGTAAATTGACCGCACAGCAATAAATCACGTTTTTATGGCCTTTGAATTCCAGTAAATTCAAGCGGAAGATAGCGAATTTATATAGACTGACATTACAAGAATGAGTAGATGCACGAGCGCCACTGTTTGCGACACCAAGCCATATGGCTGGGTCTCTAACCATCGATGCCCATGATCTTTCGGTCCCCGATCAGAGAGCTTAACGGGCCCTAATCTTTATTCAGCTGTTTTACCAAATGGGTAACCAAAATGCACCAACCAAAACCGGCGCACAAAAGCGCATGGTTATTGGTTGTGAGAACTGAACTGAACTGAATTCTAAGGTTTACCCAGAACCACCATGTGAGCTAATTAAACACAATCAGTACTTTCACTGATCACCGTAGCGTGGTTGATAAAAGACTGCATCGAATGATAAGGCATACAAAATAATCGTACTTTACCTCAAGCAAAGAATCAGCAAGTTGAGAAAAATAAGGGGTATCGTTGTTCATATATGCGACTGATAAGAACAGCTGGGACTGTTGAACGTCCGCATTAAAACACCATTTACAATCAGGTTGTCAGCTGCAAGCCTTGACCTTTCGCTGCATACAACGCGGTAAACTTTTTGTTGAGACTGCACCTGTGCTGAACTTAACCTTGTACCAAATGTCAAATCGACATCTCACACAAAGCGACCGATGTACGCCACCACATTCGCACGGTTCCAGCGGGGTACAAGGAGCAGAAACATCTGTGCTATTTAAATGGCATTTCGCTGAAGTCGTGCATACTGTGCAACACTGTATGATCAGTTCTGCTTAACTGGTTGGTACAAGACATTGAGACCTTTACCCGTTCGTATTTGCCAGACTGGGAAGAGGTGAGATGAAGCGAACGGGTTAGCCAGGACAAGGCAAAACCCAGCGCGGTTGTCTTTGTGAAACAGCTGTCATACAAAAAAATGACAAAAATAGACTTCAGTAATCAGAACGCACGCTGCGCACACCTACCAGGCATACCTAACCGAGTTGCCCTGTTTGCAGTTGCTGCTTTAGAATGGAGCGGTTCGTTTGGAGATTAGTGGATCAGAGAAGTGTTTTCTTTTCGATTTACGGGAAGTGTGGGGTGGGAGTGGGGATGGGGGTGGAATACGACAAACTTAACTGGTTTCCTGAGTATAATGAAAGATATGGCAGTCATCAAATGACAACAGCAGCGCTGTGGAAGTCAATCATTAACACATGCGTGCGCACTATATTTTGCCCAATCAATATATCAGTCAAACTGATTCACTTCGGTTTCCCACACCTTGCATTCCTAGTTTGTTTTTTACGTTTGATGAGCTGGGAAGCGATTCGCGAAGTCCGTTTGATCATATTTTGATGTTCCATAAAGACAACCGGCAACAGACAACTCTACGATTGGATAAGTTGGGCACTCAACTGTGTATCTTTTGCTAAGAATTTGAACATTTTTGTGCCTTTAATCTGGTCTGTGAGAAATTCACTATATGCTGACTTTTTTGCGTTTTTTCACCAAGATTGTTGTAATCCAGAGAGAGGACAAAAAATCACACCTCTACCCCATCCCCCCCAATGGTAGATATATTTTTACTCGGAGCGCATGGACACAATCCTAGTGTCCGGTGAAATTTTAAAATTCCGAATAAACTCCGGTCAAATAGAACAAACTACGGCGAAACAAAAAGGCACCCCAAAGAATATTCCAAAAGGTCAAAGGCAACAAAACCTCCGAAATTCGCGTATCTGGATGGAAATTCAGCTGTCAGTTATTCAATCAAGGAGATCCAGTACGCACTGAAAAAATTCCTCAGTAGGAATGTGCCCTACTGGTTGAAACTACAGCCAGACAAGTGCTAAATGCATCTCCAACCTATGGAATAAATCGCATTTGTTGTCGATATAGCCAGTTGCTACTCAAATAATATAAACACAACCAATTAGGAAAATGCATTCGACGCCAAACGTCATAACACTGCGATCATCCCTCCTTCCGATCACATGTGGCACAGTGCGAGTGTTGCTAGAAAGTCTCTGAACAACTTTGAGCGGAAATATACTAGTCGGGTTTGGTCACCGATCCGCAGTTGCCAAATTCATGGCGAATTCCGGATACGGAACAGAAAATCCAACTCAGTGGCTATAAACGGTTCTCTCGCGCCCTTTCCGCGATCATTCAGTGAAAGCGGGCGGGAAAACGGTGGGGGGGGGCAAATTGATAGTGGCCATTCGTTGTATTTGTAAAATGGACTCAAAAGTTCCGTTATGGTCCATACTCCAAAATACTCAGCGTGAGTAAGATGTACGCGTTCATGACCTGCTCGAATAAAGAAACCGTGACTTGCTCCCCCGGTGGTTTTGTAAAGATAGATGACGATTCTCCGGGAAAAGAGTTTCTCACACCGAATAAGCAATCATCCGATACAAACAGAAGGCTTCGTTGCTACAATGCATGTCCAGGACAATGTACTCCATCAATATGAACTGGGACTGGCTCCGATTTCCTTGCTGTGATAAGGGTCAGTGAAATATGATCAGCAGGAACTGTGGAATTTCTGTTCATTATTGAAAACTTCCACCTTTTTTCACTTCAGCAATGATCTTGATGAGCAAAAACACAGAACAGTGTAGAAGGTGAAGTATGGTTCTTTGAATCTAATGACAGACAATCTGCAGTTGTGACGAACCATCCTGTATAGCTCGCTGGGTTATGGAAGCACGCAAGCGATCACACCACGTCAAGGCACAGTCCCATCGTGATGACAGGACAGTGGTGCAGACGTGTGTGTGTGTGTATGTGTGTGCTGAAAAGGAAGATTCAATAGCTCAGTTTAACCTAGGATTTATCCCACCTTAAACCGAACTATTGAATCTTCCTTTGTAGATCTGAATTTCTGTTGCAATTGTATGATACAATAATGATTGTATTAAAGCAGTGTCTTTCGGCACAAGGTAGAAAATCAATTAGTGTAAATTGAATTTCAGGACTTTGGAATATTTCCTGTGGGATACCCCTGCGTAATTCCTGTTTACATCTCTGTTTGGGTGTTATTTTCGTTTTTCAGTATAGTATTCAGTTAGTTGTCTTCACTAGTTTCACCAGATTCTAGGAACGGAATGCGTTCTACCTCCATATAACATCGTAACACCCGTTGATTTTCCGATGAACTTTCGGTCGCTCCGACTTGTTTGAGGACTCGTCGATGTGTGTGGTTACTCGATCTCCTACGGGGCTCAGCTGGACTAGGTCAGTTCAACAGCTTTATAACGCCCCATATCACCTAAAAGCCTCAGTATGGCCGGGGTGGGTGTCTGGGATTGTGACGGGTCACCATTCCCTTACACCTCGCGAAATGCTCCTATGTGACCAAGCGTCTCAAATAGCCTCTTCTGACGAAGCCCTAGTCATTGCCCTCCTGTGGAAGAGGTGTTTTCCCACCAAAGTGAGAGGACGAAAAGCCAACATCCGGGGCTATACACGGGTTGGTAAACCATTGGCAGTTCACCTAGGGGAGTTGGCCGAAATCCCTGATTCCAAACCAATCAAGAGGATGTGTATGGATCACGCACACACCTTCCTGGCCGTGGTAGGGGTCACCGGCTCGATTGTGCATCGAGGTGTATTGGGCACCTTGGACGTTCGACCCCGTACAAAGAGTTTATAATCCGATGAACTGGTCACCGGGACCCGAATGGACTGCGGACTCTGAGCTCCGTCCTGTTGTCTCCCAGGTCTGATTTTCTAGCCAAAGGCTTCGGTTGGGACCCCGAGGTTATCCCACTTCCTTGACCAAGGCAAGCGGAAGTGACATGCTCACACAAACTACGACCACATTCTTCAGATTTCTTTTTGGTCATGTGTTCTGGCACATTTGCCAGTTCTCTC